CCCAGGAAGGCCCCGCCCCCCTCACGCTGAGCGTTCCGAAGCCGCAGCGTCGCCCGTTACGCCACTCCCCGTCGTAGACGAGGCCCTGCTGGGCCCACACCTGGGTGCCTCGCCCTGGGAGGGAGGGGGGGGGCATGAGGGGGAGGGTGGTGACGATGAAGGGCGAATTTTAGAGGTTCAAGTTCTGAGTGATTTGGACCAATCGCCTGCTTTGTGTCTGATGGGAGCCGGTGGGCTTGCAGATGGTTACTCACCGACTCACCTACTCGCCCACCCACTCACCTACTCACCCACTCGCTCACCCACTCACCCACTCACCTACCCAATCACTCACCCACTCACACACTAACTCACCCACTCAATCACTCACCTACCCAATCACACACTCACACACCCACTCACCCGCTCACTCGCTCACCCACTCACACACTAACTCACCAACCCACCCACTCAACAACAACAACCGCCATTCGCCACTTTGTGGTGGTGACGTCACCACGACGCTTGTGCCAGGCCATGTGCACCCTGAGGCCACGTGAAGTGTCGAACGCCCGCTGGCAGGAGGTCACGGGGCAGACCCAGCAGGTGCCACGGGTCGACTGACTGAGATGACTGAGATGACTGAGATGACTGGCTGATGCACCACCTGTGCCCCCTACTGTGCCAACCTGCTGTGCTTTAGACACCCGGCGCTCCGCTCGTTGTTCTGAGCGTCGCTCCTCCGCCCTCCGTTGTTGATGGAGGGCGACTGCCTCCAACTGCCTAGTAGCATCATTCACGAGCCTCCTCCACAGAGGCCGATCTTGACACCGCTGGTACCAGTCATCGGCAAGTCCACTCAGCTCCACGTCCTCCTGTACCACATCACTCCATCTCTTCTCTAGCCCGTGCCGCGCCCGCTTAGCCCCCTCAATCCGGCCAAACAAAAGCTGTTTCGGCATGCGGTGGCTGGGCATGCGGGCTACATGACCCAGCCATCGCAGCCTTGCCTGCCGGAGGAGCTCACCGATGGGACCCTGCCCAGATCTTTCAAGGATTTGTGAGCTCCTCACACAATCCAGTCTGGTTAAACCCAGGATGGATCGTAGGCAGGCCAGCCTAAATGTTTCTAACCGGCGAAGATGTTCCATAAGGGGGGTCCCACCCACTCACCCACTCACTCACACACCCACTCACCTACCCACCCACTCGCTCACCCACTCACACACTAACTCACCCACTCAATCACTCACCTACCCAATCACTCACCCACTAACTCACCCACCCAATCACTCACTCAACCCACCATCCACTCAATCACCCACTCACACACACCCACTCACCTACCCACCCACCCACTCGCTCACCCACTAACTCACCTGCCCAATCACTCACCCAATCACACACCCACTCACCTACTCACCCACTCGCTCACCCACTCACACACTAACTCACCCACTCAATCACTCACCTACCCAATCACTCACCCACTCACCTACCCACCCACTCGCTCACCCACTCACACACTAATTCACCCACTCAATCACTCACCTACCCAATCACTCACCCACTCACAAACCCACTCATCTACCCACACACCCACTCACTCACTCAGAAACCCACCCACCCAATCACTAACGCAACCCACCATCCACTCAATCACCTACTCACACACCCACTGACCTACCCACTCACTCACTCACACACTAACTCACCTACCCAATCACTCACCCACTCACAAACTCACTCATCTACCCACACACCCACTCACTCAAAAACCCACCCACCCAATCACTCACTCAACCCACCATCCACTCAATCACCCACTCACACACCCACTCACCTACCCACCCACTCGCTCACCCACTCACACACTAACTCACCCACTCAATCACTCACCTACCCAATCACTCACCCACTCACAAACCCATTCATCTACCCACACACCCACTCACTCAGTCACTCACTCAGAAACCCACCCACCCAATCACTCACTCAACCCACCATCCACTCAATCACCCACTCACCTACCCACCCACCCACTCGCTCAACCACTCACACACTAACTCACCTACCCAATCACTCACCCACTCACAAACCCACTCATCTACCCACACACCCACTCACTCACTCAGAAACCCACCCACCCAATCACTCACTCAACCCACCATCCACTCAATCACCCACTCACACACCCACTCACCTACCCACCCACTCGCTCACTCACCCACTCACACACTAACTCACCTACCCAATCACTCACCCACTCACAAACCCACTCATCTACCCACAAACCCACTCACTCAGAAACCCAACCACCCAATCACTCACTCAACCCACCATCCACTCAATCACCCACTCACACACCCACTCACCTACCCACCCACTCGCTCACTCACCTACTCACACACTAACTCACCTACCCAATCACTCACCCACTCACAAACCCACTCATCTACCCACACACCCACTCACTCACTCAGAAACCCACCCACCCACTCATTCAACCCACCATCCACTCAATCACCCACTCACTCACTGACAACAACTGCCATTCGCCACTAAGTGGCGGTGACGTCACCGCGACGCTTGTGCCAGGCCATGTGCACATTGAGGCCACGTGAAGTGTCGAACACCCGCTGGCAGGAGGTCACGGGGAAGACCCAGGTGCCACGGGTCGACTGACTGAGATGACTGAGATGACTGGCTGATGCACCACCTGTGCCCCCTACCGTGCCAACCTGCTGTGCTTTAGCCACCCGACGCTCCACTCGTTGTTGTGAGCGTCGCTCCTCTCCCCTCCGTTGTTGTTGGAGGGCGACTGCCTCCAACTGCTCAGTAGCGGCGTTCTTCACGAGCCTCCTCCACAGAGGCCGATCTTGACACCGTTGGTACCGGTCATCGGCAAGTCCACTCAGCTCCACATCCTCCTGTACTCCATCTCCTCTCTAGCCCGTGCCACGCCCGTTTAACCCCCTCTATGTGGCCGAACAAAAGCTGTTTAGGCATGCGGTCACTGGGCATGCGGGTTACAGTACCCAGCCAACGCAGCCTTGCCCGCCGGAGGAGCTCACCAATGGGAATTTTGTCCAGATCTTCCAAGGATTTGCGAGCTCCTCACACAATCCAGCCTGGTAAAACCTAGGATGGATCGTAGGCAGGCCAGCCTAAATGTTTCTAACTGGCGAAGATGTTCCATTAAGGGGTCCACATTTCTCAAGCGTAGAGAAGGGAGGGAATGACCGTGGCCGAGAAGACCTGAAGCTTAGTGCGGAGCGACAGACCAGGTAGCTTCCACACAGCGTTACGCAACCGATGAAAAGATATTGCCACTCGACTGATTCGGAGTGAGACCTCTGTTGTCAAACCGAAGCCGGTCATGAACACACTGCCCAGGTATAGGAAACTCTCCACTCTCTCCCCAACTGCCTCATCACCAATTGGGAGTTGTGGGGGTGGAGTGTCCGATGGTACAAAATACCCAGGCAGGTGCTTAGTTCTGTTGGGGCTGATGGTAAGGCCCCACCTATTAGCGGCAAGCTCCAGGTTCAGCAGCAGCGCCTCCAACTCCTCCTCACCAGATCATCGGCATACATCACGTGGGTGACCAAATCTGCAAACCTATTCCGACCCCCAGGAATAGGTTTGCAGATTTGCTGAGCATTTCTGTTAAGTCCTGCGGGAGGGGAAATCCCTCGACATGGAAACATCGTGAAACAAAGTGGGGATGATCCTGCTGAGGCTGTGGTGCCTCAAATATTGGAAGAGGAAGTCACCCCCTGTGAGTGACTGGCTGAGGTGCCATCTGTTGAGGAAGTACTAAAGGGGATCCAGTCTGAGACCAGGAAAGGCACCGGGCAGAGATGATCTCCCAAGCGAAATGCTGAGGGAGGGTGGTGTTTGTGCACAGACTGCCCTACATGACATCATAACAAAAGTCTGGACCACTGGACGGGTTACGCAGGATTGGAAGGATGCCCTTGTGGTCCTCCTCTTCAAGGGGGACTGCACAGACTGTAACAACTACAGGGGTATCTCACTCCTCAGTGTGCCGGGAAAGGTCCTGGCAAAGATTATTCAACATCGCCTTGCCAGAGGAGAGGCTTGCGGAGCCCCAAGGAGATTTCAGGAAAGGGTGGTCCTGCACAGATGCCATATTCTCCGTCCGTTTGCTACAGCAGAGGTGTAGGGAATTCCAACAAGACCTACATCTCTGCTTTATTGACCTGGTCAAAGCCTAAGATACCATCAGTAGGCCTGGGTTCTGGGTTGTTCTTCGTGCTTTCAGAGTCCCTGACCCTCTGCTGACAATCATTAAGGACCTTCATGATGGTAAGCGGGCCCGGGTAAAACTACGTGGCCGGGAGTCGGAGCCATTCCCTGTTCACCTAGGGGTGCGACAGGGATGTCCTCTGGCTCCAACAATATTTAACATATTTTTCGACCACGTAGTTCCTGAAGCCTTTGATGGCTGTACCAGAGGAATTTACCATCTAGTACAGATACAATGGGAGGCTGATCGATGCCCGGGTGCGGTCAAGGGATGGCTCCCTATTGGTCAACCATGTTATGTATGCCGATGATTTGGAAATTGCCGCTCACTCAGAGGAGGAGTTGGAGGGGCTGCTGCTGAAACTGGAGTGTGCCACTAAGAGGTGGGGCCTTACCATCAGCCCCACTAAAACTAAGCACTTGCCTGGGTATTTTGTACCATTGGGCACTCCACCCCAACAACTCCCAATCGGTGATGGAGCAGTTGTGGAGAGAGTGGAGAGTTTCCCATACCTGGGCAGTGTGCTCATGACCGGCTCCGGTTTGACAGCAGAGGTCTCACTCCGAATCAGTCGAGCGGCATTATCTTTTCATTGGTTGCGTAATGCTGTGTGGAAGCTACCTGGTCTGTCGCTCCGCACGAAGCTTCGGGTCTTCTCGGCCATGATCATCCCCTCCCTTCTCTACGCTTGCGAAACGTGGACCCCCCTAATGGAATATCTCCGCCAGTTAGAAACATTTAGGCCGGCCTGCCTACGATCAATCCTGGTTTTACCAGGCTGGATTGTGTGAGGAGCTCACAAATCCTCGAAAGATCTGGACAAAGTCCCATCGGTGAGCTCCTCCGGCAGGCAAGGCTGCGTTGGCTGGGTCATGTAGCCCGCATGCCCAGCCACCGCATGCCGAAACAGCTTTTGTTCGGCCGGATTGAGGGGGCTAAACGGGCACGGCACGGGCTAGAGAAGAGATGGAGTGATGTGGTACAGGAGGGTGTGGAGCGGAGTGGACTTGCCGATGACTGGTACCAGCGGTGTCAAGATCGACCTCTGTGGAGGAGGCTCGTGAAGGATGCTACTGGGCAGTTGGAGGTAGTCGCCCTCCAACAACAACGAAGGGCGGAGGAGCGACGCTCACAACAACGAGCAGAGCGCCGGGTGGCTAAAGCACAGCAGGTTGGCACAGTAGGGGGCACAGGTGGTGCATCAGCCAGTCATCTCAGTCAGTCGACCCGTGGCACCTGGGTCTGCCCCGTGACCTTCTGCCAGCGGGCGTTCGACACTTCACGTGGCCTCAGGGTGCACATAGCCTGGCACAAGCGTCGTGGTGACGTCACCACCACTTAGTGGCGAATGGCGGTTGTTGTTGTTGTTGTGTGTCTCACCGTGTGTGTCTCACTGTGTGTGTGTCTCACTGTGTGTGTGTGTCTCACTGTGTGTGTGTGTCTCACTGTGTGTGTGTGTCTCACTGTGTGTGTGTGTGTGTCTCACTGTGTGTCTCACTGTGTGTGTGTATCTCACTGTGTGTGTGTCTCACTGTGTGTGTGTCTCACTGTGTGTGTGTCTCACTGTGTGTCTCACTGTGTGTGTCTCACTGTGTGTGTGTGTCTCACTGTGTGTGTGTGTCTCACTGTGTGTGTCTCACTGTGTGTGTGTGTGTCTCACTGTGTGTGTCTCACTGTGTGTGTCTCACCATGTCTCACTGTGTGTGTCTCACCATGTCTCACTGTGTGTGTGTGTCTCACTGTGTGTCTCACTGTGTGTGTGTCTCACTGTGTGTGTGTGTCTCACTGTGTGTGTGTGTCTCACTGTGTGTGTGTCTCACTGTGTGTCTCACTGTGTGTGTGTCTCACTGTGTGTGTGTGTGTGTCTCACTGTGTGTGTGTCTCACTGTGTGTCTCACTGTGTGTGTGTCTCACTGTGTGTCTCACTGTGTGTGTGTCTCACTGTGTGTGTGTCTCACTGTGTGTGTGTCTCACTGTGTGTCTCACTGTGTGTCTCAATGTGTGTCTCACTGTGTGTGTGTGTGTCTCACTGTGTGTCTCACTGTGTGTGTGTCTCACCGTGTGTCTCACTGTGTGTGTGTCTCACTGTGTGTCTCACTGTGTGTCTCACTGTGTGTGTGTCTCACCGTGTGTCTCACTGTGTGTGTCTCACTGTGTGTCTCACTGTGTGTGTGTGTCTCACTGTGTGTGTGTCTCACTGTGTGTCTCACTGTGTGTCTCACTGTGTGTCTCACTGTGTGTGTGTCTCACTGTGTGTCTCACTGTGTGTCTCACTGTGTGTGTGTCTCACTGTGTGTCTCACCGTGTGTGTGTCTCACTGTGTGTGTGTCTCACTGTGTGTCTCACTGTGTGTGTGTCTCACTGTGTGTGTGTCTCACTGTGTGTGTCTCACTGTGTGTGTCTCACTGTGTGTCTCACCGTGCCTGCGATCAGCGTGCCACTCTCCCGTGTAGGAGTCTCCCAGGGGTGACACCACGAGGTGCCGGACGCCTTCCCTCTGACCCCTCCGCTCCCTTTCCTTCCACGGAGCCGCTGGGCGCCCAGCGTCCAGCAAACTCTTCAAGCGAGGCATTGTCTCTCAACTATCTCTCTTAACTCTCTATTAACTCTCTCTCTTCTGTCTCTCTCCTCTCTGGGACAGGGGAATGAGAGGTCATCGCTGTAGAAAAACACTTACTAACGTACACACTTACTAACGTACACACTCACTAACGTACACACTTACTAACGTACACACTTACTAACGTACACACAACGTACACACTCACTAACGTACACACTTACTAACGTACACTCTAACTAACGTACACACTTACTAACGTACACACTTACTAACGTACACACAACGTACACACTAACGTACACACTCACTAACGTACACACAACGTACACACTAACTTACACACTCACTAACGTACACACTCACTAACGTACACACAACGTACACACAACGTACACACTTACTAACGTACACACTTACTAACGTACACACTCACTAACGTACATACTAACGTACACTCTCACTAACGTACACTCTAACTAACGTACACACAACGTACACTCTTACTAACTTACACACTCACTAACGTACACTCTAACTAACGTACACACTCGCTAACGTACACACTCACTAACGTACACTCTCACTAACGTACATTCTTACCAACGTACACTCACTAACGTACACACTCACTAACGTACACACAACGTACACACTAACTTACACACTCACTAATGTACACACTCACTAACGTACACACTAACGTACACTCTCACTAACATACACTCTAACTAACGTACACACAACGTACACTCTTACTAACTTACACACTCACTAACGTACACTCTAACTAACGTACACACTCACTAACGTACACACTTACTAACGTACACACTCACTAACGTACACACAACGTACACACTCACTAACGTACACTCTAACTAACGTACACACAACGTACACTCTTACTAACGTACACACTCACTAACGTACACACAACGTACACACTTACTAACGTACACTCTAACTAACGTACACTCTTAATAACGTACACACTCACTAACGTACACTCTTACTAACGTACACTTATTAATGCACGACTTAAGAACATCCGACTCACGTCCGTATGGGTCTCTGTGGGTCTCTACGAGTATGTGTCTCTGTGAGTATGGGTCTCTGAGGGTCTATGGGTCTCTATGAGTGTGGGTCTCTGTGAGTATGGGTCTCTGTGGGTCTCTGTGGGTCTCTATGAGTATGGGTCTCTATGGGTCTCTATGAGTATGTATCTCTGTGCGTCTCTATGAGTATGGGTCTCTGTGGGTATCTATGGATCTCTATGAGTATGTATCTCTGTGCGTCTCTATGAGTATGTATCTCTGTGGGTATCTATGGGTCTCTATGAGTATGTATCGCTATAGGTCTCTATGAGTATGGGTCTCTGTGGGTCTCTATGAGAATGGGTCTCTGTGGGTCTCTATGAGTATGCATCTCTGTGGGTCTCTATGAGTATGGGTCTCTATGGGTCTCTATGAGTATGGGCCTCTATGAGTGTGGGTCTCTGTGGGTCTCTATGAGTATTGGTTTCTGTGGGTCTATGGGTCTCTGAGTATGGGTCTCTGTGGGTCTCTATAACTATGGGTCTCTATAGTATGGGTCTCTGTGGGTCTCTATGAGTATGGGCCTCTGAGTGTGGGTCTCTGAGTCTCTATGAGTATGGGTCTCTGTGGGTCTATGGGTCTCTATGAGTATGTATCTCCGTGGGTCTCTATGAGTATGGGTCTCTGTGGGTCTCTATGGGCCTCTATGAGTGTGGGTCTCTATGAGTATGGGCCTCGATGATTATGGGTCTCTGTGGGTCTATGGGTCTCTGAGTATGGGTCTCTATGAGTATGGGTCTCTGTGGGTCTCTATGAGTATGGGTCTCTGTGAGTATGGGTCTCTGTGAGTCTCTATGAGTATGGGTCTCTGTGGGTCTATGGGTCTCTATGAGTATGTATCTCTGTGGGTCTCTATGAGTATGGGTCTCTATGAGTATGGGTCTCTGTGGGTCTCTATGAGTATGGGTCTCTATGAGTATGGGTCTCTGTGGGTCTCTATGAGTATGGGTCTCTATGAGTGTGGGTCTCTATGAGTATGGGTCTCTATGGGTCTCCATGAGTATGGGTCTCTATGAGTATGGTTCTCTGTGGGTCTCTATGAGTATGGGTCTCTATGAGTGTGGGTCTCTATGAGTATGGGTCTCTATGGGTCTCCATGAGTATGGGTCTCTATGAGTATGGGTCTCTATGAGTGTGGTTCTCTGTGGGTCTCTATGAGTCTGGGTCTCTATGAGTGTGGGTCTATGGGTCTCTATGAGTCTGGGTCTCTATGAGTATGGGTCTCTGAGTATGTATCTCTGTGGGTCTCTATGAGTATGGGTCTCTATGGGTCTCTGAGTATGGGTTTCTGTGGGTTTATTTAACCAAGTATACATTAGTGCATACGCTAATGTGTATGTATAAGCACACGGTATATATGTGTATGTTTATGTATACTAACAATAACACCTTTACACGTATAGCTCTATAATGAATAGATTGTTTAATAATAATTTTGAGTATAATTAGTGTATACATAATCCGCGTATACCGCTATTAAATCTATTGATTGCGTGCGTGTTTGTTACGGACAATGCACACATGCGAATACAAAGTTTATAAGCGTATAGTATGTTTGACTAAATGTAAACTTCGTTACAATAAATTTTTACGTTTTATTGTTTAAAAGAATTCCCCTCAGAGTCGATAAACTCCCGCCAAAACTCGTGTGGGCGGTCGATCAAAGCGTTAAACTTTCTCATTAAAGTTCTCATTAAACTTTTTTTAAAAAGTTCTCTCATTAAACTTTGAGTTTTGTTCGTGACATTTGTTTTTTGCGCGAAAGATTTTTAACGAGGTTAAATTTAATTTAATTACAATTAGTTTTTTTAGCACGCACACACCGAAACTGTCCAAACTAACACTTTTAACGTCGTGATAATATCTCACACTTCACAGTTATATGTAGATAATACGCAGACGTAGATAAACAGAGTAAAGCGATATTAATGGTTACTCTGTTGTTATTTATATTTTGTAATTAATAATTAATTTCACACCTGTGGTGGTGGGGCTGATATTGTTAAGTGTTGAACGGAGGTTACGGATTAAATAAATCGTAAACGGCTACGATGTCAACACAACAACAAAAACAACTTTAATCGTTAACGACTCGTAACATTTAAACTTCTTTAAGGCAAAAACATTTAAAGCGGTTGCGACGAGAATTCCAGCGATTTAACCACCACCACCACGTAATTTGATTAACCCCTTATCATCGCTGACATCAACCGGTGTCGAAGAAGCGACTACAATCTACGAGACAAATGTTGCCCTTTGATTTAACTTAAATCGTCCAAAGTTCGCCATCCTTACCGATGTTAAACGCGAACGTGTCGCCTCGCCTGCTCACAGCCTCGGGCCTAGCGTCTCGGTAGCCATGGCGACCGCCCCCACCACAACACCCCCAACCCCACCCCCCCAACCACCCAGAGAGACTCCCACCCAGAGAGACTCCCACCCAGAGAGACTCCCACCCAGAGTCACTCCCACCCAGAGACTCCCCACCCAGAGACTCCCCACCCAGAGTCTCCCACCCAGAGTCTCCCACCCAGAGACTCCCACCCAGAGTCACTCCCACCCAGAGACTCCCACCCAGAGTCTCCCACCCAGAGACTCCCACCCAGAGTCACTCCCACCCAGAGACTCCCACCCAGAGTCTCCCACCCAGAGACTCCCACCCAGAGACTCCCACCCAGAGTCTCCCACCCAGAGACTCCCACCCAGAGACTCCCACCCAGAGACTCCCACCCAGAGTCTCCCACCCAGAGACTCCCACCCAGAGACTCCCACCCAGAGACTCCCACCCAGAGACTCCCACCCAGAGACTCCCACCCAGAGTCTCCCACCCAGAGACTCCCACCCAGAGACTCCCCACCCAGAGACTCCCACCCAGAGTCTCCCACCCAGAGACTCCCATCCAGAGACTCCCACCCAGAGACTCCCACCCAGAGTCTCCCACCCAGAGTCACTCCCACCCAGAGACTCCCACCCTCAGTCTCCCACCCAGAGTCACTCCCACCCAGAGAGACTCCCACCCAGAGTCACTCCCACCCAGAGACTCCCACCCAGAGTCACTCCCACCCAGTCACTCCCACCCAGAGTCACTCCCACCCAGAGAGACTCCCACCCAGAGTCACTCCCACCCAGAGTCACTCCCACCCAGAGAGACAACCCACCCAGAGAGACTCCCACCCACCCAGAGACTCCCGCCCAGAGACTCCCACCCAGAGAGACTCCTACCCAGAGACTCACACCCAGAGACTCACACCCACCCTCCCAGACTCCCACCCACCCAGAGACTCCCACCCACCCAGTCACCCACCCAGAGTGACCCGCCCAGAGACTCCCACCCAGAGACTCCCACCCAGAGAGACTCCCACCCAGAGTCACTCCCACCCAGAGACTCCCCACCCAGAGACTCCCCACCCAGAGTCTCCCACCCAGAGTCTCCCACCCAGAGACTCCCACCCAGAGTCACTCCCACCCAGAGACACTCCCACCCAGAGACTCCCACCCAGAGACTCCCACCCAGAGTCACTCCCACCCAGAGTCACTCCCACCCAGAGACTCCCACCCAGAGTCTCCCACCCAGAGACTCCCACCCAGAGACTCCCACCCAGAGTCTCCCACCCAGAGACTCCCACCCAGAGACTCCCACCCAGAGACTCCCACCCAGAGACTCCCACCCAGAGTCTCCCACCCAGAGACTCCCACCCAGAGACTCCCACCCAGAGACTCCCACCCAGAGTCTCCCACCCAGAGACTCCCACCCAGAGACTCCCCACCCAGAGACTCCCACCCAGAGTCTCCCACCCAGAGACTCCCACCCAGAGACTCCCACCCAGAGACTCCCACCCAGAGTCTCCCACCCAGAGTCACTCCCACCCAGAGACTCCCACCCTCAGTCTCCCACCCAGAGTCACTCCCACCCAGAGAGACTCCCACCCAGAGTCACTCCCACCCAGAGACTCCCACCCAGAGTCACTCCCACCCAGTCACTCCCACCCAGAGTCACTCCCTCCCAGAGAGACTCCCACCCAGAGTCACTCCCACCCAGAGTCACTCCCACCCAGAGTCACTCCCACCCAGAGAGACAACCCACCCAGAGAGACTCCCACCCACACAGAGACTCCCGCCCAGAGACTCCCACCCAGAGAGACTCCTACCCAGAGACTCACACCCAGAGACTCACACCCACCCTCCCAGACTCCCACCCACCCAGAGACTCCCACCCACCCAGTCACCCACCCAGAGTGACCCGCCCAGAGACTCCCACCCAGAGACTCCCACCCAGAGAGACTCCCCCCCAGAGTCACTCCCACCCAGAGACTCCCCACCCAGAGACTCCCCACCCAGAGTCTCCCACCCAGAGTCTCCCACCCAGAGACTCCCACCCAGAGTCACTCCCACCCAGAGACTCCCACCCAGAGTCACTCCCACCCAGAGTCACTCCCACCCAGAGTCACTCCCACCCAGAGACTCCCACCCAGAGTCTCCCACCCAGAGACTCCCACCCAGAGTCTCCCACCCAGAGACTCCCACCCAGAGACTCCCACCCAGAGACTCCCACCCAGAGACTCCCACCCAGAGACTCCCACCCAGAGTCTCCCACCCAGAGACTCCCACCCAGAGACTCCCACCCAGAGACTCCCACCCAGAGACTCACACCCAGAGACTCCCACCCAGAGTCTCCCACCCAGAGACTCCCACCCAGAGACTCCCCACCCAGAGACTCCCACCCAGAGTCTCCCACCCAGAGACTCCCACCCAGAGACTCCCACCCAGAGACTCCCACCCAGAGTCTCCCACCCAGAGTCACTCCCACCCAGAGACTCCCACCCTCAGTCTCCCACCCAGAGTCACTCCCACCCAGAGAGACTCCCACCCAGAGTCACTCCCACCCAGAGACTCCCACCCAGAGTCACTCCCACCCAGTCACTCCCACCCCGAGTCACTCCCACCCAGAGAGACTCCCACCCAGAGTCACTCCCACCCAGAGTCACTCCCACCCAGAGTCACTCCCACCCAGAGAGACAACCCACCCAGAGAGACTCCCACCCACCCAGAGACTCCCGCCCAGAGACTCCCACCCAGAGAGACTCCTACCCAGAGACTCACACCCAGAGACTCACACCCACCCTCCCAGACTCCCACCCACCCAGAGACTCCCACCCACCCAGTCACCCACCCAGAGTGACCCGCCCAGAGACTCCCACCCAGAGACTCCCACCCACCCAGAGACTCCCACCCACCCAGAGACTCCCACCCAGAGTCACTCCCACCCAGAGTCTCCCACCCAGAGTCTCCCACCCAGAGACTCACACCCAGAGACTCACACCCAGAGACTCCCACCCACCCTCCCAGACTCCCACCCACCCAGAGACTCCCACCCACCCAGAGACTCCCACCCACCCAGAGACTCCCTCCCACCCAGAGACTCCCACCCACCCAGAGACTCCCACCCACCCAGAGACTCCCACCCACCCAGAGACTCCCACCCACCCAGAGACTCCCACCCACCCAGAGACTCCCACCCACCCAGAGTGACCCGCCCAGAGACTCCCACCCAGAGACTCCCACCCACCCAGAGACTCCCACCCAGAGTCACTCCCACCCAGAGTCACTCCCACCCAGAGTCACTCCCACCCAGAGTCACTCCCACCCAGAGTCACTCCCACCCAGAGAGACTCCCACCCAGAGTCACTCCCACCCAGAGAGACTCCCACCCAGAGTCACTCCCACCCAGAGACACTCCCACCCAGAGACACTCCCACCCAGAGACTCCCACCCAGAGACTCCCACCCAGAGTCTCCCACCCAGAGAGACTCCCACCCAGAGTGACTCCCACCCAGAGTCACTCCCACCCAGAGTCACTCCCACCCAGTCACTCCCACCCAGTCACTCCCACCCAGAGAGACTCCCACCCAGAGTCACTCCCACCCTGAGTCACTCCCACCCAGAGTCACTCCCACCCAGAGTCACTCCCACCCAGAGAGACAACCCACCCAGAGAGACTCCCACCCACCCAGAGACTCCCGCCCAGAGACTCCCACCCAGAGAGACTCCTACCCAGAGACTCACACCCAGAGACTCACACCCAGAGACTCACACCCACCCTCCCTGACTCCCACCCACCCAGAGACTCCCACCCACCCAGTCACCCACCCAGAGTGACCCGCCCAGAGACTCCCACCCAGAGACTCCCACCCACCCAGAGACTCCCACCCACCCAGAGACGCCCACCCACCCAGAGACTCCCACCCACCCAGAGTCACTCCCACCCAGAGTCTCCCACCCAGAGACTCACACCCAGAGACTCCCACCCACCCTCCCAGACTCCCACCCACCCTCCCAGACTCCCACCCACCCAGAGACTCCCACCCACCCAGAGACTCCCACCCACCCAGAGACTCCCACCCACCCAGAGTGACCCGCCCAGAGACTCCCACCCAGAGACTCCCACCCACCCAGAGACTCCCACCCACCCAGACTCCCACCCACCCAGACTCCCACCCAGAGTCACTCCCACCCAGAGTCACTCCCACCCAGAGTCACTCCCACCCAGAGTCACTCCCACCCAGAGTCACTCCCACCCAGAGTCACTCCCACCCAGAGAGACTCCCACCCAGAGTCACTCCCACCCAGAGACACTCCCACCCAGAGACACTCCCACCCAGAGTCACTCCCACCCAGAGTCACTCCCACCCAGAGTCACTCCCACCCAGAGACTCCCACCCTGAGACTCCCACCCAGAGTCACTCCCACCCACCCAGAGAGACTCCCACCCAGAGAGACTCCCACCCAGAGAGACTCCCACCCAGAGTCACTCCCACCCAGAGACTTCCCACCCAGAGAGACTCCCCACCCAGAGACTCCCACCCTGAGACTCCCACCCAGAGACTCCCACCCAGAGACTCCCACCCAGAGACTCCCACCCAGAGTCTCCCACCCAGAGTCACTCCCACCCACCCAGAGAGACTCCCACCCAGAGAGACTCCCACCCAGAGAGACTCCCACCCAGAGTCACTCCCACCCAGAGTCACTCCCACCCAGAGACTTCCCACCCAGAGAGACTCCCCACCCAGAGACTCCCACCCAGAGACTCCCACCCAGAGACTCCCACCCAAATTAAACCGACAAATCTGCTCCACCAGCGATTGCCAACATACAATGTTTTATTCTCAACATCATCAACCTCATCACTGTCAACATCGTCAACCTCATCACTGTCAACATCGTCAACATCGTCAACATCGTCGTCAACATCGTCAACATCACAGAATTCTGGAAACCAAGCCGTCACCCCGTCACCCCCCACCAACCACAGCGTCACCCCCCACCGACCACAGCGTCACCCCCCACCGATCACAGAGTCACCCCCCACCAATCACCCCGTCACCCCCCACCAATCACCCCGTCACCCCCCACAAACCACAGCATTACCCCCCACCAACCACAGCGTCACCCCCCACCAATCACCCCGTCACCCCCCACCAACCACAGCGTCACCCCAACCACAGCGTCACCCCAACCACAGCGTCACCCCCCACCACAGCGTCACCCCCCACCACAGCGTCACCCCCCACCACAGCGTCACCCCCCACCACAGCGTCACCCCCCACCACAGCGTCACCCCCCACCACAGCGTCACCCCCCACCAACCACAGCGTCACCACCCACCAATCACCCCGTCACCCCCCACCAACCACAGCGTCACCCCCCACCAATCACCCCGTCACCCCCCACCAACCACAGCGTCACCCCCCACCAACCACAGCGTCACCCCCCACCAACCACAGCGTCACCCCCCACCAACCACAGCGTCACCCCCCACCAACCACAGCGTCACCCCCCCCCAACCACAGCGTCACCCCCCACCAACCACAGCGTCACCCCCCACCAGCGTCACCCCCACCACAGCGTCACCCCCACCACAGCGTCACCCCCACCACAGCGTCACCCCCACCCACAGCGTCACCCCCCACCAACCACAGCGTCACCCCCACCAACCACAGCGTCACCCCCACCAACCACAGCGTCACCCCCACCAACCACAGCGTCACCCCCACCAACCACAGCGTCACCCCCACCACAGCGTCACCCCCACCACAGCGTCACCCCCACAACAGCGTCACCCCCACAACAGCGTCACCCCCCACCAACCACAGCGTCACCCCCACCAACCCCAGCGTCACCCCCACCACCCACAGCGTCACCCCCACCACAGCGTCACCCCCACCACAGCGTCACCCCCACAACAGCGTCACCCCCACCACAGCGTCACCCCCACCACAGCGTCACCCCCACCACAGCGTCACCCCCACCACAGCGTCACCCCCACCACAGCGTCACCCCCACCACAGCGTCACCCCCACCACAGCGTCATCCCCACCCACAGCGTCACCCCCACCCACAGCGTCACCCCCACCCACAGCGTCACCCCCACCCACAGCGTCACCCCCACCCACAGCGTCACCCCCCACCAACCACAGCGTCACCCCCACCAACCACAGCGTCACCCCCACCCACAGCGTCACCCCCACCCACAGCGTCACCCCCACCCACAGCGTCACCCCCACCCACAGCGTCACCCCCACCCACAGCGTCACCCCCACCCACAGCGTCACCCCCACCAACCACAGCGTCACTCTCAACCAAAGCGTCACCCCCACCCACCACCGTGTCCCTCTCCCCCAGAGTGAGGGAGGGCGGATGAGATAGAGAGATGGTGAGTGAGAGAGAGAGATGGTGAGAGAGATGGTGAGTGAGAGAGAGAGATGGTGAGAGAGATGGTGAGTGAGAGAGAGATGGTGAGTGAGACAGCGAGAGATGGTGAGAGAGAGAGAGAGAGATGGTGAGTGAGAGAGAGAGAGATGGTGAGAGATGGTGAGAGATGGTGAGAGAGAGAGATGGTGAGTGAGAGAGAGATGGTGAGTGAGATGGTGAGAGATGGTGAGAGAGAGAGATGGTGAGAGAGAGAGAGATGGTGAGAGAGAGAGAGATGGTGAGAGAGAGAGAGATGGTGAGAGAGAGAGAGAGAGATGGTGAGTGAGAGAGATGGTGAGAGATGGTGAGAAAGAGATGGTGAGAGAGAGAGAGATGGTGAGAGAGATGGTGAGAGAGAGATGGTGAGTGAGAGAGAGACGGTGAGAGAGGGTGAGAGAGTGAGTGAGAGAGGGGGAGAGTGAGTTAGGGAGAGAGTGAGAGAGAGGGAGAGTGAGTTAGGGAGAGAGTGAGAGAGAGGGAGAGTGAGTTAGGGAGAGAGTGAGAGTGAGTTAGGGAGAGAGTGAGTGTGAGTTATGGAGTGAGTTAGGGAGAGAGTGAGAGTGAGTTAGGGAGAGAGTGAGAGAGAGGGAGAGTGAGTTAGGGAGAGAGTGAGTGAGTGAGAGGGGGAGTGCGAGGGATCAGTAAAAAGTGTCCATTGTACAAGCGGTCACAGCAGCTCTCTAGCCCCATCTCCGAGTGTCACATCCATGGAGCCACTCCCACTCCTCCTCTTCCTCCTCCTCCTCCTCTTCCTCCTCCTCCTCCTCTTCAGTGACTGCCGGCGACTTTCAGGCCAGAGCTGAAAAAAGACAAAACCACCACGGCCACAAACAAGGACGCTCGCACAGAGACACTCGCACAGACAGGCTCACACACAGACAGAGACAGGCTCACACACAGACAGAGACAGGCTCACACACAGACAGAGACAGGCTCACACACAGACAGAGACAGGCTCACACACAGACAGAGACAGGCTCACACACACAGAGACACTCGCACACACACAGAGACTCACACACACACACACAGAGACTCACACACACACACACAGAGACTCACACACACACACAGAGACTCACACACACACACACAGAGACTCACACACACACACACAGAGACACTCGCACACAGAGACACTCGCACACAGAGACACTCGCACACAGAGACACTCGCACACAGAGACACTCGCACACGGAGACACTCGCACACGGAGACACTCGCACACGGAGACACTCGCACACGGAGACACTCGCACACGGAGACACTCGCACACAGAGACACTCGCACACAGAGACACTCACACAGTGACACTCACACAGTGACACTCACACACAGAGAGACACACACACACACAGTGACACACAGTGATACACGCACACAGACACTTACACACACACAGAGACACTCACACACACAGTGACACACACACACACAGAGACACTTACACACACAGAGACGCTCGCCCGCCCACCCAGCCACGAGCATCTGACTCGTGAACCAGAGAGATCTGTCCATGTCCCAGTGTCCCAGTGTCCCAGTGTCCCAGTGTCTCTGTCTCAGTGTCCCAGTGTCTCAGTGTCCCAGTGTCTCAGTGTCTCCCTGTCCCAGTGTCCCAGTGTCTTCCTGTCCCAGTGTCCCAGTGTCGTCCTGTCCCAGTGTCTCAGTGTCCCTGTGTCCCTGTGTCCCAGTGTCCCAGTGTCCCAGTGTCTCAGTGTCCCAGTGTCCCAGTGTCCCAGTGTCTCAGTGTCTCAGTGTCCCAGTGTCCCAGTGTCTCAGTGTCCCAGTGTCTCAGTGTCTCAGTGTCCCAGTGTCTCAGTGTCCCAGTGTCCCAGTGTCTCAGTGTCTCAGTGTCCCAGTGTCTCAGTGTCCCAGTGTCTCAGTGTCCCCGTGTCTCAGTGTCCCAGTGTCCCAGTGTCTCAGTGTCTCAGTGTCCCAGTGTCTCAGTGTCCCAGTGTCCCAGTGTCCCAGTGTCCCCGTGTCTCAGTGTCCCAGTGTCTCAGTGTCTCAGTGTCCCAGTGTCTCAGTGTCCCAGTGTCCCAGTGTCCCAGTGTCTCAGTGTCCCAGTGTCTCAGTGTCTCAGTGTCCCAGTGTCTCAGTGTCTCCCTGTCCCAGTGTCTCAGTGTCTCCCTGTCCCAGTGTCCCAGTGTCCCCGTGTCTCAGTGTCCCAGTGTCTCAGTGTCTCAGTGTCTCAGTGTCCCAGTGTCCCAGTGTCTCAGTGTCCCAGTGTCCCAGTGTCTCAGTGTCTCAGTGTCCCAGTGTCCCAGTGTCCCAGTGTCCCAGTGTCTCAGTGTCCCAGTGTCCCAGTGTCTCAGTGTCCCAGTGTCCCAGTGTCCCAGTGTCCCCCTCTCCCTGTGCGTCTCTCACGGAAGGGGGACGCTGCCAGGGAGGGTGGGCGTCTCTGCGTGCACCGCGGCTGGCGCGGAGGCCAGCACCACCGCAGACTCCGCCACCAGCTCAGTCCTGCCACACACACACACAGTGACACACACACACACAGTGACACACACACACACAGTGACACACACACACACACAGTGACACACACACACACACAGTGACACACACACACACACAGTGACACACACACACACACAGTGACACACACACACACAGTGACACACACACACACAGTGACACACACACACACACACAGTGACACACACACACACACACAGTGACACACACACACACACACAGTGACACACACACACACACACAGTGACACACACACACACACAGTGACACACACACACACAGTGACACACACACACAGTGACACACACACACACACAGTGACACACACACACACAGTGACACACACACACACACAGTGACACACACACACACACAGTGACACACACACACACACAGTGACACACACACACACACAGTGACACACACACACACACAGTGACACACACACACACACACAGTGACACACACACACACACACAGTGACACACACACACACACACAGTGACACACACACACACACACAGTGACACACACACACACACACAGTGACACACACACACACAGTGACACACACACACACACAGTGACACACACACACACAGTGACACACACACACACAGTGACACACACACACACACAGTGACACACACACACACACAGTGACACACACACACACAGTGACACACACACACACAGTGACACACACAGTGACACACACACACACACAGTGACACACACACAGTGACACACACACACACACACAGTGACACACACACACAACAACAACAACCGCCATTCGCCACTAAGTGGCGGTGACGTCACCACGACGCTTGTGCCAGGCTATGTGCACCCTGAGGCCACGTGAAGTGTCGAACGCCCGCTGGCAGGAGGTCACGGGGCAGACCCAGGTGCCACGGGTCGACTGACTGAGATGACTGGCTGATGCACCACCTGTGCCCCCTACTGTGCCAACCTGCTGTGCTTTAGCCACCCGGCGCTCCGCTCGCTGTTGTGAGCGTCGCTCCTCCGCCCTCCGTTGTTGTTGGAGGGCGACTGCCTCCAACTGCCCAGTAGCATCCTTCACGAGCCTCCTCCACAGAGGCCGATCTTGACACCGCTGGTACCAGTCATCGGCAAGTCCACTCAGCTCCACGTCCTCCTGTACCACATCACTCCATCTCTTCTCTAGCCCGTGCCGCGCCCGCTTAGCCCCCTCAATCCGGCCAAACAAAAGCTGTTTCGGCATGCGGTGGCTGGGCATGCGGGCTACATGACCCAGCCATCGCAGCCTTGCCTGCCGGAGGAGCTCACCGATGGGACTTCGTCCAGATCTTGAGGATTTGAGAGCTCCTCACACAATCCGTATGCAGGCCAGCATTAATGTTTATAACCGGAGCAAATGACAATCCGATGGCGAGTGGGCAGATCAGCTCCACGGTAGGTCCTGGTGTCAAGGACATAGGCTCGCATCCGCTGTTCCGTCACTATTTAGTCGGGCAGATGTTCTTGCTTGGACCCGGCATGCATCCGTGATGTTGTGTGGATGCGCCGATGCCGGAACAGCGTGTTGGTAATTACAAGCCCATGGGCTGCACAAAAATCTAGCAGCCTCCTACCGTTGTTATTGAGCTGATCTGGCACATGCATTCCGATAACTCCAGACCAGGTGCCAGCATCATGAACAACTCAGGCATTGAAGTCACCCAACATGATGACTCTATCCCGAGGGGCCACTTTAGCCAGCACCTGTGACAGGAGGTCATAGAAGGCATCTGACTCATCGGCCTTGCCTGCATCCATCCACAGTTGTTCGTCTTCGGTGGGGGCATAAGTAACCACGACCACCAATCCTCGCCTCCGATTGATGGGAAGGCGAGCCCAAAGTAGCCTGGGGCTTACAACTTCCCACACCTCACCGCCACGCTCCCACGCCCCCTTCATTATTTTGTTCAAAAGAAGAGCCACACCCTGTTGTTTGGCAGTCTGCTGCCCCGAGTAGAGGACTGTCCACCCCTCATGGTGGCAGGAGCCAGAGCCGGTCCACCGGACCTCCTGAATGCCGCAGAGGATCCAGGCGGTACCGGTCCAGCTCCCGACAGAGGAGTGGGCAGCCTCTCCTCCGCGGGTGAGCGTTCGAACATTCCACGTGGCCACCCGTAGTGGCTTTTCGTTGTTTCTGGAGTAGCCCCGAGGGTAGGTATTCAATCTCCTGGCTCCGCCAATTGGGGTTTGGCCAGGAGACGTCATGGACGCCTGGCCCCCCGGGGCCTCCGGCACAAGCTTATTAGTTACATATCTCAGTTGAACTCGTGGTTTCGTGGTAATTAATTGAAGGTGGAGGGGGTTACCAGCCCCTCGCACCCGTCCAGAGCCCCCGTTTTAGCCCCTGTGGTGGACACGGACGCCATGAGGGGGAGGAGCCAATCGAAATTGGATCTTCCCCCCACAGCACCGTCCACGACAGAGTTGCCCGTCCGGCACCGCGAGGAGGTAGGGGGTAATGACACACACACACACAGAGACACGGTGACACACAGAGACACACACCAGGCTAGACGGTCTGCGCTGGAGATGTCTCCGTCCTCACTGCAGATTCTCTGCTCGCCACAGCTCAGCACCGCGTAGAGCAGGGATAGCGCAAACTGGGGGGGTGGGGGAGGGGACACAGGCAGACACACAGACACACAGACACAGTGACACATGCACATGCAGAGACAGACACGCAGAGACAGACACGCAGAGACACACACACACACACACAGACACAGTGACACACGCACACACAGACACAATGACACACACAGACACAATGACACACACAGACAATGACACACACAGACACAATGACACAAGCACACACAGACACAATGACACACGCAGACACAGACACACAGACACATAGACACGCACACAGACATAGACACGCACACACAGACGCAGACACAATGACACACACAGACACGCACACACAGACACAATGACACACGCACACAGACACAGACACGCACGCAGACACAATGACACACAGACACACGCACGCAGACACAATGACACAGACACGCACACACAGACACAATGACACACGCAGACACAGACACGCAGAGACACAGACACAATGAAACACGCGCGGGGGGGGTGGGTGAGCGACTGAGCGGGCGGCCGAGTGAACGAGCGACTAGGTAGGCGAGCGAGTGGGCGGGCCGGCGAGTGGGTGGGTGAGTAGGTGAGCGAGTGGGTGGGTGAGTGGGTGAGCGAGTGGGTGGGTAGGCGAGTGGGTGGGTGAGTAGGTGAGCGAGTGGGTGGGTGGGTAGGCGAGTGAGTGGGTGGGTGGGCGAGTAGGTGAGCGAGTGGGTGGGTAGGCAGGCGAGTGGGTGGGTGGGTAGGTAGGTGAGCGAGTGGGTGGGCAAGTAGGTGAGCGAGTGGGTGGGTGAGTAGGTGAGCGAGTGGGTGGGTGGATAGGCAGGCGAGTGGGTGGGTGGGTAGGCGAGCGAGTGGGTGGGTGAGTAGGCGAGCGGGTGGGTAGGCGAGCGAGTGGGTGGGTAGGCGAGTGAGTGAGCGGGTGGGTAGGCGAGTGAGTGGGTGGGTAGGCGAGTGAGTGGGTGGGTGGGTGAGCGAGTGGGTGAGTGGGTAGGCGAGCAAGTGGGTGGCTAGGCGAGTAGGCGAGTGAGTGGGTGGGTGGGTGAGTGAGTGGGTGAGTGGGTAGGCGAGCAAGTGGGTGGTTAGGCGAGTAGGTGAGTGAGTGGGTGGGTAGGCGAGCGAGTGGGTGGGTAGGCGAGTGAGTGGGTGGCTAGGCGAGTAGGCGAGTGAGTGGGTGGGTGGGTGAGTGAGTGGGTGAGTGGGTAGGTGAGTGAGCGAGTGGATGGGCGAGCGAGTGGGTGGGTGAGTGTGTGGGTGGGTGAGTGTGTGTGGGTGGGTGAGTAGGTGAGTGAGTGGGTGGGTAGGTGAGCGAGTGGGTGGGTCACCGCCTCCCTCACCTTGCAGCTCCCCAACCCCTGCTGCTGCCCCTGCTGCTGCCCCTGCTGCTGCTGCCCCTGCTGCTGCTGGTGTTGGTGCAGCTGGTGCAGCAGGGCGTGCAGGGCGCTGGCGAGCCGCGGCAGGGGCAGGGCCCCGGCCGCGGCCACGCAGGCCGGGGCCACGGCCGTGGGGAGCGCCGCGTCGGCGCCGTCGCGGCGCTCCAGGGCCAGTGCCTGGCGGCACAGCGCCACCAGCAGGGCGCCAGCGGCGGCGGTGGTGCCGGTGGTGCCGGTGGTGCCGGTGGTGGTGGTGGTGGTGCCGGTGGTGCCGGTGGTGGTGGCGAGCAGCAGGGTAAGCATGCGGCCCAGTAAACGCCGTCCCTTGCGAACCGACGAGAGAAGCGACACCAACTCCTCCCACGGCCTGGGGGGGGGAGACGGAGCAGCCATGACGGCGTTACCGGCGATGGCGGAGATGTCCACGGTGGTGGCGACGGTGACGGTGGTGATGGTGACGGTGGTGATGGTGACGGTGGTGACTGTGGTGACGGTGACGGTGGTGATGGTGACGGTGGTGATGGTGTTGATGACGATGGTGGTGATGGTGACGGCGACGATGTTCTTGATGACGATGGCGGTGATGGCGATGGTGGTGACGATGTTGTTGATGACGATGGCGGTGATGTTGTTGATGGCAGTGATGTTGTTGATGACGATGGCGGTGATGGTGACGGTGTTGTTGATGACGATGGCGGTGATGTTGTTGATGGCGGTGATGGCGATGGTGGTGATGGCGACGGTGTTGTTGATGACGATGGCGGCGATGGCAGTAATGTTGTTGATGGCGGTGATGTTGTTGATGGCGGTGATGGCGATGGTGGTGATGGCGACGGTGACGGTGTTGTTGATGACGATGGCGGTGATGTTGTTGACGGCGGTGATGGCGATGGTGGTGATGGCGACGGTGTTGTTGATGACGATGGCGGCGATGGCGGTGATGTTGTTGATGGCGGCGACGGTGACGATGTTGCCGGTGACGATGTTGCCGGTGACGATGTTGCCGGTGACGATGTTGCCGGTGACGTTACCTCTCGTCCCCGGCGTCCGTCGCCACGGTGTGGACCTGCAGGAGCTCCATCAGCGCCTGCAGCTTGGCCTGCCGCATCTCCACGGCGACGGCGCGGTCGTCACGGTTACCGTCGCCAGGGATACCGTCGCCACGGCTACCGCCGGACAGCTTCGCCATCACGCGGTCCACGTCCTCGATGGAGAGGAGCAGCGAGTAGGCCTACAGCAACGTCAACAACAACAACAACGTCAACAACAATGTCAACAACGTCAACAACAACGTCAACAACAACAACAACGTCAACAACAACAACAACGTCAACAACAACAACAACGTCAACAACAACAACAACGTCAACAACGTCAACAACAACAACAACGTCAACAACAACAACAACAACGTCAACAACAACAACAACGTCAACAACAACAACAACAACGTCAACAACGTCAACAATGTCAACAACAACGTCAACAACAACAATGTCAACAACGTCAACAACAACGTCAACAACAACAATGTCAACAACAACAACGTCAACAACAACAACGTCAACAACAACAACGTCAACAACAACATCAACAACAACGTCAACAACAACAACGTCAACAACAACATCAACAACAACGTCAACAACAACAACGTCAACAACAACGTCAACAACAACGCCACCACCACACACAACACCACCACCACACAACACCACCACCACCACACAACACCACCACACCACACAACACCACCACACCACACACACCACCACACACACCACCACCACACACCCACACCACCACACACCCACACCACCACCACACACCCACACCACCACCACACACCCACACAACACCACCACACACTTTTCATTGTGCGTTATAACAGCAGGGGAATTGGGGTAGTTGACGGTGACGGTGACAATGGTGATGACGGTGACGGTGACAATGACGGTGACGGTGACAATGATGATGACGGTGACGGTGACAATGGTGATGTCGGTCACGGTGACAATGGTGATGACGGTGGCGGTGATGGTGACAATGGTGATGACGGTGACGGTGACAATGGTGATGACGGTGACGGTGACAATGGTGATGACGGTGACGGTGACAATGGCGGTGACAATGGTGACGGTGACGATGGTGATGGCAAGGGTTATGACGATGTCGGTGACGGTGGCCGTACGTTCTCTATCGTGTGCAGCACGTGTCTCCTCTTGTCTCTGCCCTGTTTCTCCTTCAGATCCTGAACATCAACAACATCATCAACAGCATCATCATCAACAACAACATCAACAACATCATCAACAGCATCATCAACAACATCATCATCAACAACAACATCAACATCATCATCAACATCAGCATCATCAACAACATTATCAACAACAACATCATCAACATCGCCACATAACCCAACCCCCTCACCTCGCACCCAGCATCCCACATCATCATCATCATCAGCACCACCAACGCAATCACGCATATCACCATCGCCACCACCATCACTACCATCACCACCATCACTACCATCATCACCGCAATCACGCACATCGCCATCGCCATCACCACCACCACCGTACCTACCACCATAACCATCATCACCATCACTACCATCATCACCATCATCACCATCACCACCATCATTATCATCATCACCACCATCACCACCGCAATCACGCACATCACCACCACCACCATCGCCACCACCATCACCATCATTACCATCACTACCATCACCACCATCACCACCATCACCACCATCATTATCACCATCACCATCACCACCACCATCATCCACCACCACCATAACCATCATCACCACCACCACCGCAATCACCATCGCCACCACCACCACCACCACCGTACCTACCACCATAACCATCATCACCACAACCATCACCCCCACTCATCATCACCAAACACCACCATCATGCCCCATCACCACAACCATCACCACAAACAAAGACAAAGATCCCCCGTGTAGCCTGTGACAGACTGCAGGGGCAAGTGCTGCTAGCGGAGTAGCTGCACACCACCTATGAAGGGCCATCATTGTGGCACACACAGAGGGGGTGGGTGGCCAGCACCACGCCCGGCCGCCTTTGTCTCCCCCAGTGCTAGCGATGTTCACTACACCACATCCAGGTACTCATTTGAGGCCGAGCCGACCTAGAGGAGGGGCCCAGGACCGGTCCGGATAATCGTCACCGGTGTTGGCCGTGAGCGGGAGTTGAACTGGGGCGGCCGGGTTCGTAGCGCAGCTGAGCGCTACTACACCAACGCTCACTACCACCACCACCACCACCACCCACTCTCATCATCACCGCCATCACCACCACCACTCTCATCATCGTCATCATCATCACCGCCACCGCTCTCATTATCGTCATCGTCACCGCCACCACCCACCTCATCATCATCATCATCGCCACCACACTCTCATCATCATCGTCATCATCATCGTCATCATCATCGTCATCATCACCACCACTCATCATCGTCATCATCACCGCCACCACTCATCATCATCACCGCCACCTCTCATCATCATCGTCATCATCACCACCACCACCACCACCCACTCTCATCATTGTCATCATCATCATCACCACCACTCTCATCATCATCATCATCACCGCCACCACTCATCATCATCATCATCACCGCCACCACTCTCATCATCATCATCAACGCCACCACTCTCATCATCATCATCATCAACGCCACCACTCTCATCATCATCGTCATCATCACCGCCACCACTCTCATCATCATCGTCATCACCGCCACCACTCTCATCATCATCACCACCACTCTCATCATCATCACCACCACTCTCATCATCGTCATCATCACCGCCACCACTCTCATCATCGTCATCATCATCATCACCACCACTCTCATCATCGTCATCATCACCGCCACCACTCTCATCATCGTCATCATCATCATCACCACCACCACCACCGCCACTCTCATCATCATCTTCATCACCGCCACCACTCTCATCATCATCATCACCGCCACCACTCTCATCATCATCATCATCACCGCCACCACTCTCATCATCATCATCATCGTCATCACTGCCACCACTCTCATCATCGTCATCATCGTCATCATCGCCACCGCCCACCTCGTCATCGTCATCATCATCACCACTCTCATCATCATCGTCATCATCACCGCCACCACTCTCATCATCGTCATCATCATCATCACCACTCTCATCATCATCATCATCACCGCCACCTCTCATCATCACCACCATCACCGCCACCACTCTCATCATCGTCATCATCATCACCACTCTCATCATCATCATCATCACCGCCACCTCTCATCATCACCACCATCACCGCCACCACTCTCATCATCGTCATCATCATCACCACTCTCATCATCATCATCATCACCACTCTCATCATCATCATCATCACCGCCACCTCTCATCATCACCACCATCACCGCCACCACTCTCATCATCGTCATCATCATCATCACCACTCTCATCATCATCATCACCACTCTCATCATCATCATCACCGCCACCTCTCATCATCACCACCATCACCGCCACCACTCATCATCATCATCACCACCACCACTCTCATCATCGTCATCATCATCATCATCACCATCATCACCGCCACCACTCTCATCATCATCATCGTCATCATCATCGTCATCATCACCGCCACCGCCCACCTCGTCATCGCTGGGGCGCGTTGCCGTGGCGACGGCGTCAATCATGCGGCGAGGGTTGTTCACGCTGGAGACGGTCAACTTGCCCAGAGAGCCCTCAAACTGCACTGTGAGACACACACACACACGCGGTGAGACACACACACACACACACACGCGGTGAGACACACACACACACACACACGCGGTGAGACACACACACACACACACACACGCGGTGAGACACACACACACACACACACGCGGTGAGACACACACACACACACACACGCGGTGAGACACACACACACACACACACGCGGTGAGACACACACACACACACGCGGTGAGACACACACACACACACGCGGTGAGACACACACACACACACACGCGGTGAGACACACACACACACACACACGCGGTGAGACACACACACACACACACACGCGGTGAGACACACACACACACGGTGAGACACACACACACACACGCGGTGAGACACACACACACACACACGCGGTGAGACACACACACACACACACGCGGTGAGAGACACACACACACACACGCGGTGAGACACACACACACACACGCGGTGAGACACACACACACACACACGCGGTGAGACACACACACACACACACGCGGTGAGACACACACACACACACACGCGGTGAGACACACACACACACACACACGCGGTGAGACACACACACACACACACACAGACACACACACACACACACACGCGGTGAGACACACACACACACACACACGCGGTGAGACACACACACACACACACACGCGGTGAGACACACACACACACACACACGCGGTGAGACACACACACACACACACACGCGGTGAGACACACACACACACACACACGCGGTGAGACACACACACACACACACGCGGTGAGACACACACACACACACACACGCGGTGAGACACACACACACACACACACGCGGTGAGACACACACACACACACACGCGGTGAGACACACACACACACACACACGCGGTGAGACACACACACACACACACACACGCGGTGAGACACACACACACACACACACACGCGGTGAGACACACACACACACACACACACGCGGTGAGACACACACACACACACACACACGCGGTGAGACACACACACACACACACACGCGGTGAGACACACACACACACACACACGCGGTGAGACACACACACACACACACACGCGGTGAGACACACACACACACACACACACGCGGTGAGACACACACACACACACACACGCGGTGAGACACACACACACACACACACGCGGTGAGACACACACACACACACACACGCGGTGAGACACACACACACACACACACGCGGTGAGACACACACACACACACACACGCGGTGAGACACACACACACACACACACGCGGTGAGACACACACACACACACACACACGCGGTGAGACACACACACACACACACACGCGGTGAGACACACACACACACACACACACGCGGTGAGACACACACACACACACACACACGCGGTGAGACACACACACACACACACACGCACACACACGCGGTGAGACACACACGCACACACACGCGGTGAGACACACACGCACACACACGCGGTGAGACACACACACACACACGGTGAGACACACACACACACACGGTGAGACACACACACACACACGGTGAGACACACACACACACACACGGTGAGACACACACACACACACGGTGAGACACACACACACACACGGTGAGACACACACACACACACGGTGAGACACACACACACACACGGTGAGACACACACACACACACGGTGAGACACACACACACACACGGTGAGACACACACACACACACGGTGAGACACACACACACACACACACGGTGAGACACACACACACACACACACGGTGAGACACACACACACACACACGGTGAGACACACACACACACACACGGTGAGACACACACACACACACACGGTGAGACACACACACACACACACGGTGAGACACACACACACACACACGGTGAGACACACACACACACACACGGTGAGACACACACACACACACACGGTGAGACACACACACACACACACGGTGAGACACACACACACACACACGGTGAGACACACACACACACACACGGTGAGACACACACACACACACACGGTGAGACACACACACACACACACGGTGAGACACACACACACACACACGGTGAGACACACACACACACACACGGTGAGACACACACACACACACACGGTGAGACACACACACACACACACGGTGAGACACACACACACACACACGGTGAGACACACACACACACACACGGTGAGACACACACACACACACACGGTGAGACACACACACACACACACGGTGAGACACACACACACACACACGGTGAGACACACACACACACACACGGTGAGACACACACACACACACACGGTGAGACACACACACACACACACGGTGAGACACACACACACACACACGGTGAGACACACACACACACACACGGTGAGACACACACACACACACACGGTGAGACACACACACACGCACACGGTGAGACACACACACACGCACACGGTGAGACACACACACACGCACACGGTGAGACACACACACACGCACACGGTGAGACACACACACACACACGGTGAGACACACACACACACACACACTGTGAGACACACACACACACACACGGTGAGACACACACACACACACACGGTGAGACACACACACACACACACACACGGTGAGACACACACACACACACACACGGTGAGACACACACACACACACGGTGAGACACACACACACACACACGGTGAGACACACACACACACACGGTGAGACACACACACACACACACGGTGAGACACACACACACACACACGGTGAGACACACACACACACACACGGTGAGACACACACACACACACACACGGTGAGACACACACACACACACACACGGTGAGACACACACACACGGTGAGACACACACACACACGGTGAGACACACACACACACGGTGAGACACACACACACACACACGGTGAGACACACACACACACACGGTGAGACACACACACACACACGGTGAGACACACACACACACACACGGTGAGACACACACACACACACGGTGAGACACACACACACACGGTGAGACACACACACACACACGGTGAGACACACACACACACGGTGAGACACACACACACACACGGTGAGACACACACACACACGGTGAGACACACACACACACACGGTGAGACACACACACACACACGGTGAGACACACACACACACACACGGTGAGACACACACACACACACACACACGGTGAGACACACACACACACACACGGTGAGACACACACACACACACACGGTGAGACACACACACACACACACGGTGAGACACACACACACACACACGGTGAGACACACACACACACGGTGAGACACACACACACACACACGGTGAGACACACACACACGGTGAGACACACACACACACACACGGTGAGACACACACACACGGTGAGACACACACACACGGTGAGACACACACACACGGTGAGACACACACACACACACACGGTGAGACACACACACACACACACGGTGAGACACACACACACACACACGGTGAGACACACACACACACACACGGTGAGACACACACACACACACACACGGTGAGACACACACACACACACACACGGTGAGACACACACACACACACACACGGTGAGACACACACACACACACACACGGTGAGACACACACACACACACACACGGTGAGACACACACACACACACACACGGTGAGACACACACACACACACACGGTGAGACACACACACACACACGGTGAGACACACACACACACACACACGGTGAGACACACACACACACACGGTGAGACACACACACACACGGTGAGACACACACACACACACACACGGTGAGACACACACAGACACACACACGGTGAGACACACACAGACACACGGTGAGACACACACACAGACACACGGTGAGACACACACACAGACACACGGTGAGACACACACACAGACACACGGTGAGACACACACACAGACACACGGTGAGACACACACACAGACACACGGTGAGACACACACACAGACACACGGTGAGACACACACACACACACGGTGAGACACACACACACACACACGGTGAGACACACACACACACACACGGTGAGACACACACACACACACACGGTGAGACACACACACACACACACGGTGAGACACACACACACACACACGGTGAGACACACACACACACACACGGTGAGACACACACACACACACGGTGAGACACACACACACACACGGTGAGACACACACACACACACACACGGTGAGACACACACACACACACACGGTGAGACACACACACACACACACACGGTGAGACACACACACACACGGTGAGACACACACACACACGGTGAGACACACACACACACGGTGAGACACACACACACACACACACGGTGAGACACACACACACACACACGGTGAGACACACACACACACACACGGTGAGACACACACACACACACACGGTGAGACACACACACACACACACGGTGAGACACACACACACCACACGGTGAGACACACACACACACACACGGTGAGACACACACACACACACACGGTGAGACACACACACACACACACGGTGAGACACACACACACACACACGGTGAGACACACACACACACACACGGTGAGACACACACACACACACACGGTGAGACACACACACACACACACGGAGAGACACACACACACACACACGGTGAGACACACACACACACACACACGGTGAGACACACACACACACACACGGTGAGACACACACACACACACACGGTGAGACACACACACACACACACGGTGAGACACACACACACACACACGGTGAGACACACACACACACACACACGGTGAGACACACACACACACACACACGGTGAGACACACACACACACACACACGGTGAGACACAGACACACACACACACACACCG